ATTTATAAGATCAATTTTGCTTGTTACAGGAACACTTGTAAATGGCGTGAGATTAACATGCACATTCTCCATACTCATTCCTTTACCGTTCATCTGGCGCTAACGAGGAGAATTTGACTAGAAATCACAATGTTTTTCGCTGCTGAGCAGTTTCCTCTATTTTCAGCCTTTTATGATTGATACTGTTCAGTGGTAGGATATATAGCGAGAATGTAAATTGATGTTGATCACTGTTAACCGTACAAAAACTGTTTCTTGTGATCACCGACTGAAAGCAAACGCACCGACGGACATTTCAAGTATTTCAATATTATACAAAACTTCAGCTAAAATCAAAATTGCCCGTCGGAAAAAACGTGAAAGCGCTAAGTGCTTTTTTAAATGTACCAGCGGTCAGAAAGATACAAGAATCATGATTAAAAGGAAGCTTTCGCAAAGCCGAGAAGGCTACAGTTTTCGAAACTTTGGTTTGTTTTGGTTCTTGGACCTGTGGCACCTCAGGGACCTCTGGACCCAAGGTTCATGATGTCATTATTTTCAACAGCCAATCAGGGGCAAGAATTTGATTTGCATATGAATAACATACAAAAAAGCGATTGTATTTCTAACCGAGCCGGGATAGCGCAATTAGCATAATCATTGAATTGGTAATGAATTGGCAATAAAAGAGGTGACGGGTTCAAATCCCGCCTGATTAGCATGAAAAAGGAAAAAAAAGAAAAAAATCGCGGCTTGGATCTGGGAGGGCTTGGGGCGAGGAGAGGGAAGAAAAAAGGCCTTGGGAAGGGTATGGGAAGCGGGAGTTGGGAGGGCAGGGAGAGGGGGGCAGGCGGGAGGGGGGTAGGTAGATAGGTAGAGTGGTAGGTAGATAGATAGATAGAAAGATAGGTAGACAGGTAGAGGGATAGGTACAGGGGGTAGGTAGATAGGTAGATAGGTAGAGGGCGGAGGGATGGGAGGGGGAAGGGAAGGGAAGGGAGGTGGAAATGGAGGGGGGGTCTAGCCTTCGAGCAAGGTCTCTTGCTGCCGGGATTGGGTGGAGGGTTGGGTGGGGTGGGGCAGTGAGAGACCTTGCTCGCAGGCTAGAGCCGGGGAGAAATTTTTAAAATTTGTGTAGATGAAAAATTTTTTATCTTCGAAGTGACCCCAAGCTGACCCTAACCCTAAGCTTAACCCTAGGGTTAGGGTTTGGATTAACTACTGGGAAAACGATAAGCGTTGAGAATCTGAAACCAAATGCAAAACATTAATATCGTCGTAGTCGTCCGGGGAAAAATCTTTAAAAGTTGTGTAGATGAAAAATTTTTTCTCTTTGATGTGAGCTCAAGCTAACCCTAACCCTAACCAGAAACTTAACCCTAGAATTAGGGTTGGGGTTAACTCCTTGGAAAACATTGAGCGTTGAGAATCTGAAACCAAATGCAAAACATGAATATCGTCGTAGACGTCCAGGGAATAATCTTTAAGAGTTGTGTAGATGAAAAATTTTTTATCTTCGATCTGACCTCAACCTAACACTAACCCTAACAGCAAGCTTAACCCTAAGGTTAGGGTTAGGGTTAATTCCTAGGAAAACGATAAGCGTTGAGAATCTAAAACCAAATGCAAAACATGAATATCGTCGTAGAGGTCCAGGGAAAAATGTTTAGAAGTTATGTACATGAAAATTTTTTTTGTCTTCGAAGTGACCCCAAGCTAACCCTAACCGTAAGCTTAACCCTAGGTTTAGGGTAGGGGTTAACTCCTGGGAAAATGATAAGCGTTGAGAATCTGAAACCAATGCAAAACATAAATATCGTCGTAGACTGGTGCGGTGCTTGTACTGGTCGGACGTGTGTTTAAGAGCTCTCCGAGCTTAGATTAGAATTTGGGTCTTTCTTCTGCCAATTATGACCGGGAATTAAAAGCTGAGGAAGGAAAATCAATCTGTTGAGATAGCTGAATTGAAAGAAAAACTCTAGAAAATTTCCGAAGAATTTTCGTCAAAGAAAGCGGAGCTGACGAAGCCGGACGCCGAGAAGAAAATTTCGTCAGAATGTGCTCATTCGCTTGAATTCGTCTCCAGTAAATATGACCTTGTCGCCTTCAAAGACGAAGCGGTGAAGCAAATCAAACAACTGTTTACTAGAGTCGCCGAAATCTCCATTCTCTGCGACCGAATGGCTAAATCCATCGACACTCTTGAAGCATACAGTTACCAGTTTAATGTTAAAATTGTGGGTATGCCAGCTACAACGCAAAATGAAACCTCCGATCAAACTGTAGCTCTCTGCCTTAGGCTGTTTGAAGCCCTTGGAGTTGAAGAGGTTTCGCTTAACGACATCGATATTGCTCATCGGATGCCGAGCCGTTCTGCCTCGAACAGGTCGAATGCTATCGTTTGCAAATTTACTCGAAGACTGGCAAAGGGAAAAGTTATGGCTGCGAGAAGGAGATTGGAGAACCTGGAGGCGTCACAGTTAGGCTTCCCTGACGATTTTGATATCAGTCATATTAACTTGTATGATCATCTAACTCCTCGACTTCAGGAGCTTCTCTTCGAGAGCATGAAATACAAGAACGTCAATAACTTCAAATTCTGTTGGGCGAAAAACGGAGCTGTCTGTCTGCGGAAAACGGAAACATCAACAGTCATAAAGCTAACAAGCCTAGACGAGTTAAATGAACTTAGGGGGTCACGATAAGCTAAGTACTTTGAGATATTAGAGTTGCATTAAGCGGGGTAATTCTGAAAACCTTCTTCGCTCTATCGCTTAAATTAGCTTAAAATGAAGTTACGCCGTAGAAATAAGGTCCAAGAAAAAGCTCAAAGATCAACACTCAAAGAGCTGCCTTACTTTACTTTTAGAGGCAAGTTAGAGCTCTTTCATGGCCAATGTAATAATTCGGTGTCCACTACTTCCCAGTGTAGGAGACATATAGATAAATTATCCAGCTTATTTGATCTAGATCTATTTACTAATCTTGACGGTCAATTAAATAATAACAATAACGATCACAGACAATGTCGATATTTATCCCCGCATAGTTTCAAATTATTTAATAGAAAGCTATCCAACAGTGAGGTTCAATCCAGTTTTTCAGTTTTTCACAATAATGTTGTAAGCATTAACCAAAATTTGGAAAATTTAACATTACTACTGGATGAACTCGACTTTCAATTTAACTTAATTGGTGTCACAGAGACCAAAATTACAAATTCAAATGAGAACGGGTCTTTTTCTTGCATATCGGAAAAGATCTCTAATTAAGCTGTTCAAGCCCTTTGGATTGAAATATCTTTTGCAAATAACAAAAACATTGTCTGTGGTATAATATATCGCCAACACAATTCTCCGGATCAGTTCATGTCTTACTTCGAAGAAACCATCGAAAAATTGACATCTCTTAATAAAAATGTATTTAGCATGGGCGATTTCAACATAGATCTATTGAAATGCGAAACATCTCAAATTAGCCATGACTTCTTAATGTCCTTACAAAGTTGCTATCTCATTCCAACAGTTGATAGGCCCACTCGAGTCCATAGGAACTCAGCTACGTTCATTGATAATATCTTTTTTAACAACCCTGACCAAATACTTCTCAGCAGTAACATCATCTCCGATATTAGCGATCACTTCTCTCAATTTTGCATAATCAAAGCAGCAAGAGATAAATATAGAGGGTACACTACCAAGATACGCGATTTTTCTAATTTTTCCGCAGACCAATTCAATAGGGAACTCTCTGAGGTTGACTGGGAATGTATCCTCGTAAATCATGCAACTGATCCAGACAAATTATTTTCAACCTTTTATAAGAAATATAATAAGATTGTAAACAAACATGCTCCCATTACAAAGTTATCAAAGCTTAAAGCCAAACAGCTTTCTAAGCCTTGGATTACTACTGGAATAAAAGCATCCATTATGGTTAAAAACAAATTGTATGTGTCCGGTGACGAAGACAAATACAAATATTATAGAAACAAAATTTGTAGCCTGATACGTCTAAGTAAAAAGATATACTATCAGGATTATTTCGAACGCCAAAACAAACATGAAAAAGACATGGGAAGGAATAAATGACGTCTTGCATCGCAGAAAGAAGACCAAAATTATAACTGCTATTAAGGACCCGAATAAGAGCAACAAAATCGTAAAAGAACCTTCACAGGTCGCTAATATTCTTAATGACCATTTTTCGTCTGTAGGAAATAGGCTAGCTAGCACAATTCCAACGCCACAACAACATTATCTTAATTACGTTAGTCATTGCAAAGCACCATCTTCATCTTTTCTATTCTTACCGGTAACGTCCGACGAAGTGAAATTTCAGATACTCTCCATACCAAACAACAAGTCTTATGGTCTATATTCATCTCCCATAAAATTATTAAAGTGTGCAAGTAGTATCATAGCTCCTATTCTATCAGAAATATTAAATATCTCAGTAACACTAGGAAAATACCCCTCAAAACTTAAATTGTCCAAAATAACTCCAATATTCAAGAGTGGCGAAGATAATGATGCGAATAACTACAGGCCTATATCCTTATTATCTAACTTTAACAGAATTTTTGAAAAGATCATGTGCAACAGAATGAAAGATTACATTGACAAACATAACTTATTGTATTCCTCCCAGTACGGTTTTCGTAAAGGTCACTCGACTCCACATGCAATATTAGACATTGTAAACGCAATACAAATTAATATGAATCAAGGTCTTTTCTCGTGCGGAAATACACAAAAACTCCTTGTCTCACTTTGGTGTAAAACTTTGGAATGAGATGCCTTGTCATATTAGAGATCTTCCTAAAAAAAAATTTAGGAAAGTACTTCACAGATTGTTTTCGGATTTCTTAAAAAGAGAAGATGACTATATTGAGACGCCCTTAATAGTTGAAAAAGTTCGATTAATAGTTTAGTGTTTTCTGTATTAAAGTATTTGTTTGCTTGTTCACATTTAATGTAATTAAAATAAAACTGTGATAGAATATTATTTATTGTAACTTAAAATTGTAGTTTTCCTTCCTTTTCCTTTCCTTTCTTTTCCTTTCAATTTATTTTTCTTTTAACTGGTCCGCCTAGATTAGCAATTGCTATTTTGCGGGCAAGTCTATTGTAACCAATAGTCTTATGAAATAAAGTTGAACTTGAACTTGAACTTGACGTCCAGGGAAAAATGTTTAAAAGTTGTGTAGATAAAAAATTTTTTATCCTCGATGTGACCTCAACCTGACCCTAACCCTAACCGCAACTTTAACCCTACTGTTAGGGTTGAGGTTAACTCCTGGGAAAACGATAAGCGTTGGAAATCTGAAACCAAATGCAAAACATAAATATCGTCGTAGACGTCCAGGGAAAAATGTTTAAAAGTTGTGTAGGTGAAAAATTTTGTATCTTCGATGTGACCTCAAGCTAGCCCTAACCCTAACCGCAAGCTCAATCCTAGGGTTAGGGATGGGGTTAACTCCTGGGAAAACGATAAGCGTTGAGAATCTGAAACCAAATGCAAAACATGAATATTGTCGTAGACGTCCAGGGAAAAATCTTTAAGAGTTGTGTAGATCAAAAATTTTTTGTCTTCAATGTGACCTTTAGATAACACTAACCCTAACCGCAAGCTCAATCGTAGGGTTAGGGTTGAGGTTAACTCCTGGGAAAACGATAAGCGTTCGAAATCTGAAACCAAATGCAAAACATGAATATCGTCGTAGACTACTAGGGAAAAATGTTCAAAATTTGTGTAGACGCAAAATTTTTTATCTTCGAGGTGACCCCAAGCTGACCCTAACCCTAAAGACAAGCTTAACCCTAAGGTTAGGGTTGGGGTTAACTCCTGAGAAAACAATGAGCGTTGAGAATCTGAAACCAAATGCAAAACATGAATATCGTCGTAGACGTCCAGGGATAAATCTTTAACAGTCGTGTAGAGGAAAAATTTTTTATCTTCGAAGTGACCCCAAGCTAACCCTAACCGCAAGCTTAACCCTACGGTAGGGTTGGGGTTAACTCCTGGGAAAACGATACGCGTTTACAATCTGAAACTAATCGCAAAACATGAATATCGTCGTACACGTCCAGGAAAAAATCTTTAAAGGCTGTATAGATGAAAAATTTTTTATCTTTAATGTGACCTCAAAATGACCCTAACCCTAACCGCAACCTTAACCCTAGGGTTAAGGTTGGGGTTAACTCCTGGGAAAACGATAAGCGTTGGAAATCTGAAACCAAATGCAAAACATGAATATCGTCCTAGACGTCTAGGGAAAAATGTTTAAAAGTTGTGAAGATTATAAAATTTTTATCTTCGATGTGACCTCAAGCGAACCCTAACCCAAACCGCAAGCTTAACTTTAGGGTTAGGGTTGGGGTTAACTCCTGGGGAAACGATAAGCGTTGAGAACCTGAAACCAAACACAAAACATGAATATCGAAGTAGACTTCCGGGGGAAAATGTTTAAAATTTGTGTAGATGCAAAATTTTTTATCTTCCAAGTGACCCCAAGCTGACCCTAACCCTAAGCTTAACCCTAGGGTTAGCTTTGGGATAAACTCCTGGTAAAACGATAAGGGTTAAAAATCTGAAACCAAATGCAAAACATGAATATCGTCGTAGACCTCAGGGGAAAAATGTTTAAAAGTTGTGTGGATGAAAAAAGTTTTTATCCTAGATGTGAGCTCAAGCTAACCCTAACCCTAACCACAAACTTAACCCTTGGCTTAGGTTTGGGGTTAACTCCTGGGAAAACGATAAGCGCTGAAAAGCTGAAACCAAATGCAAAACATGAATATCGTCGTAGACCTCAGGGGAAAAATGTTTAAAAGTTGTGTGGATGAAAAAATTTTATCCTCGATGTGACCTCAAGCTAACCCTAACCCTAACCACAAGCTTAACCCTAGGCTTAGGTTAGGGGTTAACTCCTGGGAAAACGATAAGCGTTGAAAAGCTGAAACCAAATGCAAAACATAAATATCGTCGTAGACGTCCAGGGAAAAATGTTTAAAAGTTGTGTAGATTAAAAAAATTTTATCCTCGACGTAACCTCAAGCTAACCCTAACCCTAACCACAAGCTTAACCCTAGGCTTAGGGTTGGGGTTAACTCCTGTGGAAACGATAAGCGTTGAGAATCTGAAACCAAATGCAAAACATGAATATCGTCGTAGACGTCCAGGGAAAAATCTTTAAGAGTTGTGTAGATGAAAAATTTTTTATTTTCCTTGTGACCTGAAGCTAACCCTAACCCTAACCTTAAGCTAAGGTTAACCCTAGGGTTAGGGTTAGTGTTAACTCCTGGGAAAACGATAAGCGTTGGAAATCTGAAACCAAATGCGAAACATGAATATCGTCGTAGACGTCCAGGGAATAATCTTTAAGAGTTGGGTAGATTACAAAAATATTTTTTCTTCAATGTGACCTCAAGCTAACCCTACCTCTAACCGCAAGCTTAACCCTAGGGTTAAGGTTAAGGTTAACTCCTGGGAAAACGATAAGCGTTGAGAATCTGAAACCAAATGCAAAACATGAATATCATCGCAGTCGTCCAGGGAAAAGTATTTAAAAGTTGTTAGTCCGTGGGTCAGAAAGGGAAACCCTCCCCCTCCTCGGGGATTTTTGCAGACATGTATCATTTCAAAGCTTCACCTGAGGGTATTTGAAAAATGCATGTTTGCACTTGATTGATTGGTGGGTGTGGCTGTGCAGCAACATTCTTTTCCTCAGCAAAGAGTCACAGGCTACCCACACCAAGAAATGAGTTAACCTCTTCTGAAACACCATTATCGCCAAATTAACACTCAGAGTTATTTAAGGTAAAGTATTTTTAATCTCATATGTAGGTTAAAAGTAACTACTTTACTTTTAAGTTCCAAAAAATTGCTACTGCGCATGTCACAAGGTAAAGAGGAATATATGTAAAATAGTGGACAATAACCATGGAGCACTTTTACAACTGTAAAAATCTTTGTGAATAACAATTTGCAAATTTAATCCCCTTCATTAATTTAGCAGATGTGTGTTAGATTTAAGCGTAACAGGGCAGTGATGTCCCTCACTTTGTTTTAGGTTTCATGTTCAGTGCACGAAAAGTCCCCTGTATAGCCACATTTTCTCTTTGAACAAGTTTATCAAAAGTCATTTTCAAAAACAACATCGCTAATATCTTCGTAATCGACAGTAGCATCTTCTTCATCCTCAGAAGATGGATTCAAAGGGCCGGTTATGATGTCTGCGAGTTCCTGAGGCATGAGATTGCCGTTCGTCCAGCAGATTTCAAGCTCACCTTCGACGTTAGTGTTCCAGCCATGCCCTTCTGGTCCCGGGATACTTGGTGTTGCCTGATCAGCTTTCTTCCATATGAGCGCTTGATAATTTGCTCTTCTCACATGCATTTTCAGACTTTCTCGGCAAGGTGGAAGAAGGCTCATATCAACACCATTGTAGCTCGTCAGTACCTCTCCTGGCTTTGCACTGAATCTCTTAATAAATTTTTCGTATCTGAGAGAGTTGATGTCACCCAACTTGCTTCCGTACATCAGACATGTGAACTTTTCAAGATCTTTAAATACTCTGTCTTCTATGTCAACTCTCGATCCTAGAGCATGAAACGTTGGAAGAAACTCAGGATGTTTTTTGAGGAGTGTGAGCGGCTTCACTTTCCCTCTTCTCACAAAAGCACTGGTCGTATCGCAACCAGTAAATGCGTGCAGAGCTACAAGAGCCAGGTTAATCTCATCTCCGAGATCTTTAGCAACAGCTTGAACATTTACAAGTCGGCCCTTGTCACACGTTCCAGTGTCAAACAGCACTGTCTGGTTTATATGACGTACAAATCTGAGAAGTAAAATGAACACGTCGGTATCAGGGGATCTCACTAGTATAACCGAGCTTTCTGGTGAGTTGGCAGCAACATTGTTATAGTGCAAGATCATTCTGGTATCGGCCTCCTCGTGTGAAGAGCACAACTTCTCAACTTCCTCTGTAACTACATTCTTTCCATCGACACTTTTTAAGCTGATGCATTTCCTCTCATTAACGAAAACTAAATGCTTTCCCTGCAGCTTTGGAGCATATTTTCCCTTTTTCCACTCATCTAAGAGGAAGCTGCACAAGCGCCTTTTGTTTTCTTCATTACACAAGAACTTTTTCCAATCACGAGGAACTTTAGTGGAAGGTCCTTTCACTAGATGTGCTTGTGAAGAACCTCTTCTTGATCGTTCTAATCCTTTTATCGAAAGGGGATGATAAGAGTCTGTTACAAAGTCAACGCGTTGTGCTCTGGGTAGTTGCTGAAAAACGTACTCAGCTAGCTCTCCGAACGTGCTCGGAAGAGAAACCATTGCTTGCAGCAAAGCATTTCCGTCTACTATGTAGCATTGAAATCCCACAGTGGGTCTCTGGGCCAGGTGCGATTTGTCCTCCAGGCAATGCATTAATTTAGCTTTGTCAGTTTTTATCATTGCTCCATCTGAAGTTGCCAGAGCCCAAGGAACAGGACCAAGCGGGTAACTTAGCACGCGTTCGAGGCTAAGCTCATGCTGCAGTGCCAGTATAACAAGTTGCCCAAAAACGTTTCTTTCTGCAGTTATTTCTATGTTCTTTCTGGCCTTTCCTTGGACTAGTGAAGTTTTGGCTTGATTTGCAAACGTTTTTGACGGTTTTGTCTATGAGCCTGTCCTGAACGAACTGCTTGTGGGCTTTCTTGCCAATTTCATCCGACATTAGAATGTCATTCTCCACATTCGAGTTCACGGGAGCACCGGATGACAGACAATACAGCGTGTCCTTATCTTAAAAAAAATTATTTATCGCTTCCATGACGCAACACGTGTCTTGCTCACTCTTCAGTATCTGCGAAGATCTTATCTCCTTGTGCGAGGTAGACTCCAGAGTGTTGATATTCGCTATCTCTTTGGTTGCTTGCAGATAGCTTGCTCTTGCATGTCTAGTACGGCACCATCTGTAGTAGGCAGAATGGTTCCGGCTGAAACCAACAATTCCGCTGTGAGATTTCGCATGACGGTTAATTGTTTGCTCAATGGTTATGTCAACGGCATTTCTAGATGATGGAACATCTGATCTGCTAACACTAAAGCCATTATTCTTCAACAGATCCTCTGCTCCTGGATGCGTTTTTTCCAGGTTCAACATATTCAGCAAGTAGAATGCCGAGTATCTTGCATAGTTTGGGTGATCGAAGCTGAAAAACAGGCTGCACATTCTTTGGAGGCTTGCTAGGTGAAGCGTCGGGCAATTCTCTTTAGTCGCTCGCTGGAACTGTAGAATCAGGCCTACCTTTTCCATGTAGCTCAACCAAAACTGAGCTGTCTTGCCAAGCGCGCCCTGCCGAACAGTTTCTTTGAATTCATCATAACGGTCTAGGGACTTATTACAGCTTTCACTTGCTAAACATGCTAAGAGGTTATCTTTGCACGGGTTCTTCGCTAGATGGTCTAATGTTGTAACTCCTTGCTCATTAAAAAGACAACCATGCAACGACTCGTAGACCTGAAGAAGAATTCGTTCCAAAGCTTCGTAGACAACCTTGTGCACTCGAAGAGCGCTGTTATTATGTTTGCCTGTCAAAACTTGCTCTATCGATCCACTTGCACAGATCCCTGATTCGACCCTGACTCTGCCACACAAGGGAATAGGCTTTCTTGGCAACAGCGAGATCGAACGTTACCACCGTGTATTGCTGATGCACTTCCCGTGATGCCTGTTGTGACAGCTTTAAGATATGCTGTACGGTCGCATTTTCGGTGACGAGTGCAAAGACTGGAGCCATATAGTCAATAGCAGATTGCTGTACAGATGAATTCTTGCTTGTTTCTGTCAACGCCACCCACCCTGCCCATGGAGGGACAACCTGAGCAACGTGACGCAGGACCCCTGAACGACACAAAACCAACAGAGTGTCAGATGATTGAGCCCTGGTTTCATCCAGAGTGCAAGCTGCTTCTGTCTTAGAGACTGTTACATTTGGCTCGACCTTGTTTTTTGCATAGCAGTGCTCAATGTTTTGTGAAGTGCATTTCGCAGGTCGGCTCTTTGTTCTAGCCTGATCAAATTCTTCTGGGGATTCTAAAATGTTTCCTTTGGCAGTTGAAACTTCCTGGATGATAATGCCATGACCAGTATGTGTTGTACCTGCACCTGATGGTGTTTCTTCCGTCAAGTCGAAGTTGTCCCAGCACAGGTGGGTAACTAAGTTTCTGTTTGGGCTGATTGTCGATGGGATAACACCTTGTCGCTCATCTATAACTTTGCACATGGCTGTTTCTAGCTCTATAACTCATGAGTAGGAAGCACAATGACCAAATCGATTAACCAGTGTTATGACTTCAGCACTACCAGTCAAGTGTCGCAATGTCATTCCAAGAAGTAGATGCTTCGGCAGCGTCCACTTCCCATTCTTAACAGCTTTGCAGATGTCTTGGGCAAAAGAAGTCACCAATCTTTGCCTATTTTCAGAACTATCACTCTTCACAGAAAGCAAGCACTCTAGAAATTTCTCAAGGCAGGAAGGTCACCGTACATTATCACTTACGAGGAAGTCTGCTGATGGGGGCCATGGCATTTCCTCAGCCTCAGCGTACGCAACCTGAATGGCCCTTCGTAAAATAGATGCCGCCCCTTGAAGTCTCTTAGTTTCAGAGGCTGCTGCCTCAAACGCAACTTCAATCGCTTCGCCTTTGGTGATCTCTGATGCATACACCAGCTCACTTTTGTAATTTGGTTGCCAGAACTGAATTGAGCTTCCAAATCGCTTCACTAATTTTGATTTAAGTTTATCAGTTTTGTAATCGGGATTATAGCAGTCAGGGTTATTATTCAAAATGGAGATAAGATACCGTTCTCGAAGCATCGACATTCTCTCCACGTTCCCTCCCGAGATGATTGATGCGTTTACATGTTCACATAAATTCTCAAATGCAGCCTTGTGAGCAGCCTCTACATCTGTCTGGCCCCCTAGTACTTCCTTTTTAGGTACATCATGCCTTTCTTCTGAACGAGTGTAGCTTTTCCGGCATGAAGCATGATAGTGTGCTTCTTTGGCAACTAGGTCAATACCCTTAATCTTGAGTAAAATGAATTCATCTTGTTTTGTCACTGCGGCCCTCTTTATTGATTCTTCGGCTGTTTTAGTAACAAATTTGACTAGGTGCTCCTCTTTTCCTGACTTCCTTATCCGGCCTTTGTCGCAAAAGAGACACTTGTCAGCTGATAATAGCCTTGATGGTGTCAAAGCCGAATGTTGTGACACTCTGCGTCTTTTCACCGAACTTTCTCCGAACTCTGAACTGCTGTTAGGTGCTTCCTTTTTGCGCTTCATAATTCTGGACACATTCGTAAAACGTTTATAACAAGACCTATGGTATCCATATTGGGCTGGCACAAATGCACTTGGTATATTTGAGCAAATATTATCTAGTCTGTTTTCACTATCTTGCGATTGCCTCACTTCAGCAGCTGCTTTGATTTTTTGAAAGCTACTTTCCGTCATAACAGTAATACTTCTGTCCTTGACGTTGGCAAAATGAATGAAGCATCCTTGAACTTCCTTTTTTCTTTTTTGTTTTGTTGATTTTAGACTTTTGATCTTCAAAGCCTTTTCACCCTGAACTTTGTCTTCTTTTTCCATTAGAACTTTCTGAAGCAGTAAAATCCCTGAAATCGTCAAATATCAACGAACTTACAATTAATTGAATTTAAACGAGCCTTAGAAAGCGCCGCAGAAAAAGAAAACGCCTAACTCTTTGCATCTGTAACTAAATATATAAATATTGCATCAAATAGCTGATAATATGAGTAGGTATACCTGTAAACACATGTAACACAAACGGCATCGGTTTAAAGATTTCAAACAAAGTTGATTAAAGGACTTTTTTAAAGAAATGATGATGATAAAAATGATAAAAAACTCCATTTCCAGACTGAAATAAATGCAACCGTCTTTGCCTTGACATCTCTTTTGTTATTTTGATAAAGAAAAGTAATAATTCATTTTATGAACACTCTCCAAACAAAAAAGATATTGAATCAAATAGCTGATATCATGACTAAATTGTAAAATATTGAATAGACACGGCAATTCTTTAAAGACTTCGAACAAAGATAGTTTTCGGACTTTAAGTTAATATTAACGATGACAAAAATGATCAAACAGTTTCATTTTCCGGACTCAAATAAAGATAGCTGTTTTTACAGTGATGTCTAATTTGTTTGTTAATGAAAGATAAGTACTTGTTCATTCAAAACTTTTTACAGAGCAAAGAAGTATGATATCTTGCTAACTTACCTTTCAGTTTTTCCAAAATGGCGTATCTGAATCTGAGTCTCAAAGGATTGTGGGATAGGAAAAAAGGTGGACTGTGCCTCATGGGATATCAAATAGAGAAGTTTGATATGCGTCTTGAAATAAAATGCACGAAATGATTAAAAAGTTTTTTGGTTACAACTAATGTACCATAAAAAGCTAGAACAAAATAATTAAATGCTGCCTGAGTGCTGTGGAAAAATTATCGTGGTTTACTTTAGAGGACTTTACAAAGCGCTGTTGACGTTTCCTCGGCTTGAACATATCGCATAAGCAGCAAACTAGGGATTACTAATCATTTACTAGCTAATACATTCTCATTGGCCAGTAACTACCAAAATTTCACGTAGGTTAGACATTTTCAAGAATTTTTTAAAGAGTTTGGCGTAAGAGGTGTTAGTGACGTATCCAAGTGAAGGCTAACTTAAACTTGTGACATGCGCAGTAGTAGTTTTTGGAACTTAAAAGTAAAGTACAGAATTTTAACTTACATATGAGATCAAAAAAACGTTACCTTACTTAACTCTTAGTGTTATTTTTCTCGGTAATGTTGTTTCAGAAGAGGTTAACTCACCTCTTGGTGTGGGTAACCTGTGACTCTTTGCTGAGGAAAAGAATGTTGCTGCACAGCCACACCCACCAACCAATCAAGTGCAAACATGCATTTTTCAAATACCCTCAGGAGAAGCTTTGAAATGATACATGTCTGCAAAAATCCCCGAGGGGGGGAGGATTTCACTTTCTGCCCCACGGACTATGTGTACATGAAAAATTTTTTCTTTTACTTGTGACCTGAACCTAACCCTAACCCTAAGGTTAACCCTACTGTTAGGGTTAAGGTCAACTCCTGAGAAAACGAAAAGCGTTGGAACTCTGAAACCAAATGCAAAACATGAATATCGTCGTAGACGTCCAGGGAAAAGTGTTTCAAAGTTGTGTAAATGAAAAATTTTTAATCTTAGATGTGACCTCAAGCTAACCCTAACCCTAACCACAAGCTCAACCCTAGGGTTAGCGTTAGGGTTAACTCCTGGGAAAACGATAAGCATTGAAAATCTGAAACCAAATGGAAAACATGAATATCGTCGTAGACGTCCAGGGAAAAATGTTTAAAAGTTCTGTAGGTGAAAAATTTTTTGTCTTTGATGTGTCCTTAAGCTAACCCTAACCGTAACGGCAACCTAAACCCTAGCGTTAGGGTTGGGGTTAACACCTGGGAAAAGGATAAGCGTCGAGAATCTGAAACCAAATACAAAACTTGAATATCGTCGTAGGCGTCCAGGGAAAAGTGTTTCAAAGTTGTGTAGATAAAAAAATTTTTATCTTCGAAGTGACACCAAACTAACCCTAACCGCAAGGTTAACCCTGGGGTTAGGGTTGGGCTTAACTCCTGGGAAAACGATAAGCGTTGGAAATCTAAAACCAAATGCAAAGCATGAATGTCGTCGTAGTCCTCCAGGGAAAAATCTTCAAAAGTTGTAAAGATCAAAAAAAAATTTATCTTTGATGTGACCTCAAGCGAGCCCTAACCCTAACCGCAAGCTTAACCTTAGGGTTAGGCTTGGGGTTAACTCCTGGGGAAACGATAAGCGTTGAGAATTCTAAAACCAAACACAAAACATGAATATCGTCGTAGACTTCCGGGGAAAAATCTTTAAAAGTTGTGTAGATAAAAAATATTTTCTACCTTCGAAGTGACCTCAAGCTAACCTTAACCGCAAGGTTAACGCCAGGGTTAGGGTTGGGGTTAACTCCTGGGAAAAGGATAAGCGTTGAGAATCTGAAACCAAATGCAAAACATGAATATTGTCCTAGACGTCCAGGGAAAATGTTTAAAAGTTGTGAAGATTATAAAATTTTTGAATATCGAAGTAGACTTCCGGGGAAAAATGTTTAAAATTTGTGTAGATGCAAAATATTTTATCTTCGAAGTGACCCCAAGCTGACCCTAACCCTAAGCTTAACCCTACGGTTAGGTTTGGGATTAACTCCTGGGAAAACGATAAGGGTTAAGAATCTGAAACCAAATGCAAAACACGAATATCGTCGTAGACCTCAGGGGAAAAATGTTTAAAAGTTGTGTGGATGAAAAAATTTTTATCCTCGATGTGACCTCAAGCTAACCCTAACCCTAAGCACAAGCTTAACCCTAGGCTTAGGTTTGGGGTTAACTCCTGGGAAAACGATAAGCGTTGAAAAGCTAAAACCAAATGCAAAACATAAATATCGTCGTAGATGAATGTCGTCGTAGTCATTTTTGGGAAAAATCTTCAAATTTGTGAAGATTAAAATTTTTTTTTATCTTTGAATTGACCTCAAGCGAACCCTAACCCTAACCGCAAGCTGAACTTTAGTGTTAAGGTTGGGGTTAACTCCTGGAGAAACGATAAGCGTTAAGAATCTGAAACCAAACACAAAACATGAATATCGTCGTAGACTACTGGGGAAGAATGTTCAAAATTTGTGTAGATGCAAAATTTTTTATCTTCGAAGTGACCCCAAGCTAACCCTAACCGTAAGCTTAACCCTAGGTTTAGGGTAGGGGTTAACTCCTGGGAAAAGAATACGCGTTGAGAATCTGAAACCAAATGCAAAACATGAATATCGGCGTAGTCCTCCAGGGAAACATTTTTAAAAGTTGTGAAGATTACAAAAATATTTTTTCTTCGATGTGACCTCAAGCTAACCCTAACTCTAACCGCTAGCTCAACCCTGTGGTTAAGGTTAAGGTTAACTCCTGGGAAAACGATAAGCGTTGAGAATCTGAAAACAAATGCAAAACATGAATATCATCGTAGTCGTCCAGGGAAAAGTATTTAAAAGTTGTGTAGATGAAAAATTTTTTATTTTCCTTGTGACCTGAACCTAACTTTAACCCTAACCTTAAGGTTAACCCTACTGTTAGGGTTAAGGTTAACTCCTGGGAAAACGAAAAGCGTTGGAACTCTGAAACCAAATGCAAAACATGAATATCGTCGTAGACGTCCAGGGAAAAGTGTTTGAAAGTTGTGTAGATAAAAAAAAATCTTATCTTCGAAGTGACACCAAACTAACCCTAACCGCAAGGTTAACCCTGGGGTTAGGGTTGGGCTTAACTCCTGGGAAAACGATAAGCGTTGGAAATCTGAAACCAAATGCAAAACATGAATATCGTCGTAGACGTCCAGGAAAAAATGATTAAAAGTTCTGTAGGTGAAAAAATTTTTATCTTTGATGTGTCCTTAAGCTAACCCTACCCCTACTGGCAACCTAAACCCTAGGGTTAGGGTTGGGGTTAACACCTGGGAAAAGGATAAGCGTTGAGAATCTGAAACCAAATGCAAAACATGAATATCGTCGTAGACTACTAGGGAAAAATGTTCAAAATTTGTGTAGATGCAAAATTTTTTATCTTCGAGGTGACCCCAGGCTGACCCTAACCCTAAAGACAAGCTTAACCCTAATGTTAGGGTTGAGGTTAACTCCTGAGAAAACAATGAGGGTTGAGAATCTGAAGCCAAATGCAAAACATGACGTCCGTCGTAGACGTCCAGGGATAAATCTTTAACAGTCGTGTAGATGACAAATTTTTTATTTTCGAAGTGACCCCAAGCTAACCCTAACCGCAAGCTTAACCCTACGGATAGGGTTGGGGTTAACTCCTGGGAAAAAGATACGCGTTTTCAATCTGAAACTAATCGCAAAACATGAATATCGTCGTACACGTCCAGAAAAAAATCTTTAAAGGCTGTATAGATGGAAAATTTTTTATCTTCGATGTGACTTGAAGGTAACCCTAACCCTAACCGGAAGCCTAACCCTAAGGTTAGGGTTAAAGTTAACTCCAGGGAAATCAATGAGCGTTTAAAAAGCTGTAACCAAATGCACAACAAAAATATCGTCGTAGATGTCAAAGGAAAATTGTTTAAAAGTTGTGTAGATAAAAAATTTTTTATCCTCGATGTGACCTAAACCTGACCCTAACACTACCCGCAACCTTAACCCTACTGTTAGGGTTGAGGGTAACTCTTGGGGAA